TTTGAATCTTATGGGGGATTGTTGTAGGGAGATTCAAAATTTGAAGAATCTCACATCCCTCATCTTTGCTTTTTGTTTTTTGTCTTTTCTCTCTTCTTTCCTCTTGCATGTAGGTGATGACCTATTGTCCCACATTACTTGGGAAATAGATGAACTTGAGTATATTAATAAGCTTTCTTCCTTTACGGGTAGGGACCAATAGGAGGAAAGGTCTATATGCCATTACATGCATGTGAGGAGGAGTTAGGGGTTATTTTCACATAAGCGCGCGCCAAGCCAAGTCAGGGCGAGGGCCAGGGCTAGGGTGCGAGTGCATGCGTGCACCATGACCTATCACTTTTTCTCTTTAACCGTTTGATTCTTAACCGCCGGTTTTAATTTAAATTATTTTAATGTTCAAACACTTTCTTTCTCTTTTGTTTGTGTCTCTTTGAACTGGTGCTTGTTCTAGAGAGACACATCTCATCTTTGTGTTTATTTGGGTGACTAAAAGCATTCTATAAATAGATGTTGGTCAACCCATTGACATAAAACACACACAACATGGTTTTTCTCTTCTCTGTCATTCGTCCATACAAGGCCTGAGATAGCCGAACCAATAACTCCATCTATCTATACCATGCAGGTGGCTTTTCCTACTTTATACAAATATGATCTTCCTCCTTTAAAGCCACTGAAGAGATCCTTTAAGGCCATCGAACAAGATATTCTTCAACAACTTCAATATCTCCAACTTCTGGGTCTTGCTTCCATTTGAGCTGGTTCCAAAAATACTGCACTACGAATTTCTCAACTACTGATTTCTCAAGCAAATCCACCCTCAGTGCCATAGTTATTCATACTAGAAAATTATTGCCTTTAAACTGAAAAAGTATTAATGCTTACATATATATATATATAATATTCGTATAAATATGAAGATATGTCAAGTTTAAATTGGATTAGGTTGTCCAAAGAAAAACCCCAATCCAACCCAAAATTCATTGGGATTCATACTTTTCAGCCCTAACCCCAACGCTGCCCCTATCTCAAAAATTCAACCCAAATTAATCTAATATAACATTCTCTTTCTAAGAGAATATGAGTGCTCCCTTGAAAGGTAATTAGGTAAACTCTATTTTCATGAAGCAGTGGTGATAACTGTCACACAATCCAGTGGGCCCTTTGATGTGGTGGGCCATGGTGATAACTGATAATTGTGATGGATTCATATTGTAACCAAGAAAGTACGTCCACGACAGTCAAAAGCTGAAGATTTTATTAATTTCAAGTAATGGGACTAGGCATAGAATATAAGTTAAAGATCATTATGTCCATGACTAAGAGTTAGTTCATCATCATCATCAACCTTTATTCCAACCATGGTTTTAAAAGGCGACTGATGCGAGGCGAGAGGCATACGCCTCAAGGCGAGGCGGCCAAATTTGGCCTGGTCTCAATAGCCTTAGTCTCGGAGTAAGTGGTGTAAAACTCAGTTTTAGTGAGGCATAGGCCTTTGGCCTTTCGCCTCAATTTACATGAGGCGGTAGTCTTAAGTTAAAGGGGTCTTGGGTGGGGAAAATTGAATTTTAGTATGGGCAATTTTGAAAAAAAGTAAAACCCAAAATGTTGGGTTTTCAGTGACTAAAATCTAGTTTTTTTGTTTTCGTTTTTCAATCGAACTCAAGAAGACCAAATTCATTTCTCTTCTATTGTTCTCTATTCTATCTTCTATATTCTATTTCTTAGGCCAAACTCAAAATTCAAGAAGACAAGAATATTGAACGAAATCAAATCGTGCGACTGCATACAGGTCCTCCACCTCTTTCTTCTTCTTCTTCTTCTTGAATCTTGCGTACATGTTTTCCTCCTCCTTTTCACTTTTTTTCTTTTTTTTTTTTTTGTCTCAAACTATCAGCTAAGTGGGGCGGCAGATTTGTGGGAGGTCAGAGACTCAAAGGTGCTAGCATGCTACTTTCTTTTAGTTTCACTTTCCATCTGTTTTGTCATCTTCCATGAACAGCTCTTGTCACAACCGACAATGAAGTTTTATCATGGCAGCCATGGAAGTGAGTCTAATTCATTTCAAGATTTGTCTGAAACTTTCAAAAAGATTTGAACAATCAGCAATTGTTGAACCATTGATACATTAAGTGACAAATAAATATATAAAACTTCAATTATTTTATTTTATATAGTTTTTAAGTTTTAATTTGAGGCTTACACCTCGAGGCTTACGCCTTGCCTCTTTAGCACCCAACCACCTTGCCTCCGCCTTTATCCTTTTAAAACCTTACAACTATATGGGGTTGGCTACATTTATCATATTTTGTCATTTCATTCTGTTTAGTGTCATATCCATTGTTAAATTATGAATACTTGCCAATTACTAGAACAACCCTATAGTTTCACAGATTTACTTAAACCTACCTATAGTTTGCATTTTATTAAAACACCCCTTATAGTTTGCAACCTATTTACTTAATCGACCTTTCATTAAGAATTATTTGTTTTTCAATATAGACATAATAAGATGTCACCTAAACTAAGTAGAAAATGTTCAAGGGCATGGACCCAAAAGTAGCCCTAACACTTTTTTGTATAAAAAAACAAATTTGACCAAATAGAGAAAAATATAGTGGTTGTTTGTGTTTTATAAGGGGCAAAAAATGGCACTTTTGTTTTTAGTTTCTTTTAATTAAATATATTTGAATGGATCTTAGGGTAAAACTATCATTTTCTACTTTCATCTAGTGGAGGTCGATTAAATAAATTGATTGCAAACTATAGGGATGTTTTAGTAAAATACAAACTGTAAGGTAGGTTTTAGTAAGTCCATGAAACTATAGGGGGTGTTTTAGTAAATGATCCTTAAATCATTTTACTACTTCAACCCATGCCATTTTTGCATGGTTTTGAAAATGGATCGGACCGGAAAAAACCGGGAACCGGTCAGGTAATCGATTCTATTTCACCCTAAAACCGTTTTTTGGCTAAAAACTATTGATTTGGTTAGTGACTCATTGACTCGGAACCAAATCGAACCAATCTCAAACCGGCCTTGAACCGACTACCCAATTTGTTACAGGGTAGGGTCTAGTTCCAATTTCTTGGAACTGATCTCTACCCAGGTCAGTTCCAAGGTTTAGGGGTTTACCCTACTCGAATTGACCTAATGAACCGGCCTTGGTTTTCCTTGGTGGAATTGGCCTTAGAACCAAACTTGCCTTCACATAAACTTCAAAATATTTTTAAGAATATGAAAATTTGAACCCAAGCACTCATTGCTACAAAAGTCGTGGTGTCACTTGACCATCAAGTTACTTAAGTAATTTGATCTTTTGTTTTCATGTTTTTATTTTAATATTTGAATGTGTATAATAAATAATGTAAAAAGTAATATTTACGAAATTTAAATTATAATATGATAAATTTTAAACCATATGTTAATATATTGTAATAATCTACATATTAAATTACTCAATTTAATCAACAAACATAATATAAGTTTTAAATTATATGATGTCATTATTGAAAATCAACATTTTAAAGGACATGTTTCATTTTTTAAGAGGGAGAGTAAACAAAGAACAAGTTCCACGGGCAGATCCTGGAACTAACTCCAGAACTGCCAAGGCCAGAACCGACCTTCATAGGGTAGATTCCGATTCTAAAAACCTGGAACCAACTCCTATAGGTAGGTTCCAAGTTCTACCACGGAACGGAACCAAACTGACCCATGCTCAGCACTAGTCAAACTATCAAATCATCAATCAGGACAAGGGTTTTGGCTGTTTATCTATTTATTTTTAAGTTAAAATGAGACATCAGTTCAAACCAGACAGTTGGAACGTTTGACCCGAGAACCGGTCCCCAAGACAGTTCCCTTTCCGGTGCAATTTTAAAAACCTTGCAGTTTTGGTTTGCCCCCAACTCTTTTAGTCCCTTCAACTAATAATAGATTGCTTTTCTACGTGACCAAAACCCTCTTATCTGTATTCTGTTTTCTCATGTTATTACCTATTTGAAAATGACTTCATTTCTAATCCTACGTTTTGCTATTTTTCCATGCATCTCCTCGTATACATAAAGATCAAATGAACCTTATTGCTGTGAAGTAGGCTTGAAAAGATAGAGGAGGTAGCACCGGAGAGCAGAAGAAAACGCTATAGTTTGGGCTCGGATTGGACAATATCCCCAGTGTGAAAAAAAGACAAGAGGGTTGAATCTAGACCTAACAATTGGGTTGGGTGGGTCAGGTTCAGGTTGGGTCAAGGTATTTCGGGTTGATTTTGGGTTGGGTTGTCAAATGCTAGATCCTAACCCTAAATGTTTGGGTTAGGGTTGACCCATGGGTCAATTCGGGTCATCCCAAAAAATAATTGAAATTTAACAAATTTAAGGAAAAATTATATAAAAAATGTCAAAATTAAAAGAATTAATCTTAAGATTCTAAATATAAAATAAAAAACTTGAACATTTAATAATTTAAAGAGTAAACAATAAAAAGTAAAGAGTAAATAGAAAAATTAAAGAGTGAAAACTTCTAACAATGCATAAATAATCCCAATTAGACTTGACAATCGGGTCAGCGGGTTGACCCATGACCCAACCCAACCCATTTTTTTCCAAGTCGGGTCGGGTCGATTCATTTTCACATTCGGGTAGCTAAATATGAGACCCTAACCCTATTTTTTCGAATTGGGTTGAATTGAGTCGGATCAAGTTATTTTCACATTCGGGTAGCTAAATATAAGACCCTAACCCTGTTTTTTCGAATTGGATTGAGTTGGATCGGGTTTGCGGATTGAGTCAACTTTTTGCCAGGTTTAGTTGAATCCATTCAGGCCCAAGTGGATGATTACTGTCCCTAGGCCCATTCGAATGTAACTAACCCAAATCTCAAGTGGGTTCGGGTCGGATCAAAACCCAAAAATACTCTAATTAACCACAGCCACTAACTTCTCTACATCTCTTGTGTTTGTTTTTTTAGGCAAACAAAAATTATGTTTCTGCAACTCTTATCGTTCTAATTTTAAGTGGACACTGAAGTACCGGACCCATCTCTCTCCTCTCGAGTCTCGACCTCATGCGTAGAGCCACCAGAGAGTCTGAGACTCACTCTGTCATACGGCTTTTGTTTCAGAGTGAGTAAAACAAACAATAAACAATATTTAATCCACGATCTCATAAGAGTCCTTCCATGGCTTCCACAGCGGCTCCTCCGACCCTGTCTCTCCTGTTTGGTAGCAGAAAGGGTGGCAATAGGTCGGAGGAAGCCCACGGAAGAAGTAGAAGAAATTGCCGTGTTTTCGCATCGGAAAACCCAGACCGGCGCAAAAGAGCCCCGCCGGGAGTGGACACTAGAATTCACTGGGACAATCCAGACGAAGGTTGGATCGGAGGGTCTACCAGTTCATCGCAGGCCTCCCGACGACTCAATGTCGAGGAGGAGCAACGCAATCTTCTGGGTGAGAAGTTCTCTGATTTGCTCAACACTTCCTCTGATTCCCACTACCAGTAAGTGAGTTCTCTCTCTTTGTTTCTCTTTGATAGCTTCTTCCTCGATCGGTTACTTGTTATTTCTGATTTTTGAGCAGAGGGGTGGATCTTCTGCGTCTAATAAACAGACTATCAAGCTTGAAAAACCACCGATTATTTGGGGTTGGCTTGACTCTGTCTATGACTTTATTTAGAAAATCACTGATTATTAGATTGGTCTCGACTTCACATCGGAAGAAATTCTTGTTTTTTTTTCCAAGAAAAAAATGAAAATAAAGAATGAAGACGAGTCCTCGTAGCAGAGTCTTTCACCCAAAATAAGAATTATTTTCATGACTCTAAACCATTTGATTTGTGCATTAGTTCAGAGCTTTTGCTGAGTTTCTATGGAACTTTCTCCATCAAATATTTTCAGAGAAACCATAAATTTGGAGCTATACTTTATTTTTAAGCTTGTTTTGTTTTTATTTTTTTTGCTTAATATCTGAAGTGGACCCATTATGTAGTGGGCCCAGATCATCTGGGTACACGTGGCAAGAAAAATGGGCCAATAACGTGCTAAGCATTCTGCTTCGCCAGGTCTCAATCTTTTTTGTTGGTAACTTTTGTAGTTAGTTTTAATTATTATTATTATTATTTTTTTGCATTGGTTTGTTGTTGGTCTGATTTATTCGGAAGTTAACTGTATGTGTCCCATATGATGACGTTAGAGTTTATACTTTTGTAGCCCTCATTAGAGCTTATCATGGGCCGGAGCCCAGAATAGTTGGCCCCCTGTGTCTTTTGGTCATCTGGTCCTTATCACGGGGTTTGGGTCGTTTGGCTTCTAAAAGTGTAAAATCTTCATCTCATCAGGTCGCTTAGGCTGTATTTGGAATCGATGTAAATTTAAAATGGTGTAAAATTTTACACCGATTCAATTTTATTCGCGTTTGGAAGAAAAGTGTAATCATAATTGATGTAAAATTCTACTCTATTTCAGTTTTGCATACGTTTGGATGGAGTGGAGTTTTACGTCGATAATCGATGTAAAATTTATTTAATTAAACGTAAAGTTTTACACCGATTATCGATGTAAATACTACATTGATTTTATCGATGTAAAATTTTACACTCTTTACACATTGCGTTTTTTCAAAAAGCAATAATCACTTTTGCAGTTCAGTGTAAAAATACACTGGTGGCATTTTACACTGATTCCAAACATAGCCTTAGGGCGTTTAGATTATTTTTTAATAAGAAACGGCCCAAAATGAATTGGAAATTTCAATTCCACAAATCTTTAGATACCGCAATTTGGATCATCTCATGGTGGAGAGGAGTTAGCATTCAAATTCTGTATTTTAGTGAAATTCAAAATGATGTGAGGTATTGGAGAATTAGGATTTGCTCCCCATAGCTAGTGCACATTGCAACTGTAAATCGGAAACATCTCCTCTTAAATAATAATAAACAACTACTGAAAATGCTGTGAAGTTGATATGAGGAGTACTCTGTGAGGAGGAATAAATCCGAATTCATACTGGATTGAAATTCAAATTCATTCGTCAAAATCTGTATAGTTTTTTTTTTTTTTCTTTTCATGGAATGGTTGGTCTCAGAAACTAGAGTGATGATAATCCAATGGGTGTGTTCCCATTGAGTAAACATCTTTCTGGTTTTCAATCTGGTTCAAAATCTTTAAGCTTTTCTATATTTTAGCATTCCACTCATAGACATGATGGGGTGTCATTGGCATGACTCATCCAATCGTCACTCTAGTAATCCTGTTTGAAGATCGGATTGTTTGCCTCACACCAACCTCACAGTGTATCACGGCTGTGCCTCGAAAACATCTTCCATACTTGATGTTATTATTCATGGGAAGATGTTCCCAATGCACAGCAAAGATGCTTGCAAGGTTGGTGTGAGACACACTATGTGAGGAATAAATCTAAATTTGCCTTTTTGGGATGTTTTGGAGGGCTTTGATGTTGTTGATGTGAGATGGGGTCCACTTGGAAAGCCTGTAAGCTTTGATTGAGCTGCTTTACTGAGCGGAGTTTTTTGTGAAAGCCATTTTTTAGGCTAAATGGAAACAAATTTGGGATTCCTCGATTTTCACAAAGCAAACATCACATCTCTGCACCTCACAGAGGGTGCACCACATGCCACATCTCATCATGCATTGAGAACATTTCCTGAAGTTGTCAGTGTCTGGGTGGAACCCATCTTACAAAGACAAAGACTGTCCCTAAGATGTGCATGAGTCATTTTTTAGGCCATCTGCTTCAGCCTTTTTGCACCTAAAAGCACAGTTGAACCAGTTAAGCTGAATGTTCAACTTAGCCCTCCCAAACAACACTTAATGGTTTCTTGAAAGCACCTCAAATGGCTTGAGTAACACAAATATTGGTGAGAATCCAATGCCCCRAAAACCTAAGGGTTCCTCCGCAAGGTTCGTCCACAAAGGGTGAGTTAGGGCCTAAGATTAGGCCAAAATGCATAATCGATGGACAACAGGTAAATAATCCTATACTACCCCTTGTTAGTCCCGAGGGATGGAAGAGGCTAGGTTAGCCCAAAGATGGTTATCGATTCAAGGATGCAAGGTGACCTTGCTTTTTCAGGGTAAGAAAATGCCTGGAACCAATATCTAAGTACCAAGCACTACGGCGCTGAAGTAACCCATGCCATACTCCTAAAAAAAGCTCAAACGACCTTCAATAAAAGGCTACCTGTACCTAAAACTGACACAAGTGGGTAGGTAGAGAATACCTAGGGGCGCGAGGCAACTCTATTTAAGGAACTCAGTAAAATAGCCCCATAACTTCGGGAGAAGGGGTGCCTCCTCACAAAGGGGGTCGCAGTGACCAGGCCCGCTGTTCACCAAAATCATAGGTCCCTGCAAAGTGTAAGAACTCAACCAAATAATTAAGCTCCCTCAAATGGGTGGGCTCTAAAAAGTAGAAACTAGATAATTAGCTACTATATGTTACATTACCTGGTATATTACTTCATCATATCCTTCCTTAAGCTTACTACTTTTGATACCAATCAGGTTCTTAGGGGTAGCTGTCGATGCTGACATGGAAGAAATTAAAGCTGCCTACAGACGATTGTCAAAGGAATACCATCCAGACACAACGTCGCTCCCTATAAAAGCAGCCTCAGACAAATTCATGAAACTCAAAGAGGTCTACGACATACTAAGCAATGAAGAGAGCCGAAGGTTTTACGACTGGACCTTAGCTCAGGAAGCCGCAAGCAGAAAAGCCGAGAAGATGAAGATGAAGTTGGAGGATCCATACATGCAAGAAGTGAAGAACTGGGAGTCAGTACCGGACATGGTCGATCGGCTTGGTGGAAGAAATATGGATCTGAGTGATCAAGCCATGACTGCACTTACTATTGATGTTGGTATTATAATCTTTGCTATTTGTTGCATCATTTATGTTCTCTTCTTTAAGGAACCATATTAATTATTGGGTTTGTACTTTGAAATTGTTTTAATATTGCCTAATTGTAATCTCTATCACTTGTTTTAAATTGGGGTCGGGGATGGGAGTATGGTTCCTTCCCTGTTTCTATTCCTATTTCAAATGGTGTGGTGTCACCTTTACTATATAACCTGGTTATAGATGTAATTCAAGTAAAAATAATCCTACAATGCCTAATCAACATTCATCCATACCAAGTAGTGTGGCTCAATTCAGGTGTGATGTGATTGTTTCATCTTCAATCATGATGAGGTCCAATAGAATGGCCCAATTTGGGGTCAACATGTGGTTGCAGTTAGAGGGCCAATTTGGAAAACTATAACCAGGTTAGAATATAATCCTGTTTTGTCAGATTCAGATATCTCCATTTGCATCCCTATGTGCAGACTCCTTAGGATGGACAGGGAAACTAACTCCCAATAGAACCATAACTCCATGAGGAGCACAACTCTCCTCCCTTTTCTCTATAAATACCAAGACACCATTATGGGTAAGGTATGCATGCTCTAGCCCTCTTCTTGCTTCCATAGTTCATCATTTGCTTACCTTGTCAACCAATGACACCCTCGTCTAGTTACTAACTTGAGCATCGAAGGGTTCTCTCCTTGGGATACACTTCAGGACTTTGATGTTGTTTATGGTTGTAGGCCGCCTCTTCGAAAGTAGCTTGGTTCGGATCACCCTTGCTTCTTTGGCTCTTGACCTTTTCTGGTTGCTAATTCTAATACTAACAAACAACTCCATAGCCGTGAAGAACCCATAAATCTACACCCATATCAAGTACCTCCCAAGAATCAAATGTGATGCTGCTCAATCCGAGGTGGTGCACGAATTGAGAAGAGCAACCAGATAGTCCTTGCTGATAGGGCGGGGACGTGCTACAAGGATGAGGCCACGCTTCGAGACTTGTGATCAAGAAAATAGAAGTCAGAGGCTCGAGGAATTATCCCCGGGTAAGCACTCTGACGCTCAAGTCAGTAGGAGGTGGTAGGTGGTCGGGCCGAGCTATAAGGATGTTGGTCCGAGCTAAATAGTGGTGTCGGTCACGAAAGTTAACCTCGAGCATGGAATACCTTTTTATAGCCGAAGATCCGTGTCCTGGTCGGATTGGGCTTCTGGGGTTGTCAGGATGAGGTTTTCCACCGAGGTATTCAGGATAGAGTCCCATTCCCCAGCGGAGTCGTCTTCCTTACTCCTCTCTATCTGTAGTTGTGCACATCCGTATGACGTGTAGTTGACGTGATTAGGAAGATAAGATGGTGGGCCACAATGGTAGCGTAGCTCAGCCGAGCTATGCTGATGTGGCAGGGCAATAACTAGGCGGCCACGTGTCTCATAGGATCAGCTCAGCCATGACGCGAACACCACTCCCCCAATTTTGAAGTCGATGGACGAGGTCCTCTGAGTTCGTCACTTGGCTGAGGAACTTTCGGCCGTGCGTATCGTCTGCAATGTGTCGGTCGTTGCCGAGGGGTCCTCCGATCGTCGGCTATAGAACTTAAATGGGAACCGAAATTTTGGTTCCTGAACCACTCCCCCAGTTCTGCTGCCGAGGAGGGAGAATGCTCGGCCGGACTATTGTTCGGCCTTGTAGCCTTGTTCGGCGTCAACTGGGTTGGTACTGGGTATTCCGATTAAGCCTGCGTCCTTGAGCGGCCTAGCCGAGGATCTGTTTCGGAGGTTGGACTGGTATTGCGGGTCGAACCGATGCAATTAATGGGCGTAACCACTGCTTGTCGGGGGTGCCACTTCGGTTTCTGAGGCTTCGTGTCGTGCGCTATTGGTTGCGTCGATTGGTCTTCCGATGCGTTGTTAGAGGCGCCTCATCTGCACCGTTGATCTCTCCTTGGTCTATGTCCATGGTGTCTATAAAAGGAAAGAAAAAGGGGGGGGGAGGGCCCTATCCTTTGTACTATTTGCAAGGTGTTTGGCGTTCATTGCTCGGTAGGTTGTTCGACAGATAGCTCTGTATATAGCTCAGTGGTTCCCATTGAGGAGGGGTTTGCCGAGGTGCTAAACTGGTATAGGGTGTTTCTGGTGCAATTGATGCCGAACTCCTTTAGGTTCTTGCTCGGCCTTATGTCCTACTGCGCCATCCGCAATATCAAACTAACCTTGGGGATGGTGAGCTTTAGGCTCCAACTGAAACACCACCAGTAGGGGTACTATTACTTCTTTGCTAGGCGGAATATCCGGTCGTTGGTTGGGGCCCCTTCTTCTATGAAGCACTGGAAGGAGTCATTCTTCTTCGTGCACATTCCCGGGGGTCTCCCTTTTCTTGCCGAGATGCGGGAGCCGATGACGACTGTTCCGTATCCCCAATGGTCGGCGCTCACTTGGGAGGAGAGGTCAGCCTTGAGCATGATCCACGAAATTGATGGTATCACGTACACATGCTCGGAGATCCTGATACTCGCCGAGCAGATGGAGAGAGTGGCTGGTATGTTCCTTTTATTATTTGTTCGCCAAGTTATCGTTCCCTTGCCCACTTTCTACTTATCTTGGGTATCCTGTGTTACAAGTATAAGTATGCCCAGCGAGGAAGAGATTGTTCGTCGGTTGAAGGCACTTTGGCAGAGGCAGGGGCGAGTTGGTACGCAATCGGAGGCTCATGTTGAGACAGAGGAGCGGCCATGATCCGCGGATAGGGCGGCTCGTCGGCAGAGGAGAGTTTGGCTACGGAAGGCCAAGGAGGACGACATTGTCGTGGTTGACCTTGAAGGGGTTCATCGTCTACAGGTGCGTCAGGAACTGAAGCGGGCAACAACTTGGGTCTACACATGCCGCGGTGGTCGGTTCACATTGATGATAACTTGGAGACGCCTGGGTTCCCGAGCAGTTTCTGCGAGGGATCATGACTATGTCGATAGCTCGGGAGTCGTTCGGGGTCGGCAGCGGAGCCTTAGAGTGTGTGCTTCTCCGGTCAGCTGCCCAAGTGAATTCCTTTCTTACCCTTTGAGTTTTTGGTCCCCTTCTTGTCTATACACTAATCATCTTTTTCCTGCAGAATGCTTGTGCAGCGGTTGCATTAGTTGACCGTCTCTGCGACCTCTGATCATCGTACAAGTGCGAACACTCAGAATATCCCCGAATAATGCCGACCTGCTTGGCTAGTTGCGCTTTCAGCTTGGCCACCTCCCACTCTGGCGCAGCTGACCTCTCCTCGAAGATACTTGGTTATGGGGGAGTGGTTCGAGGTCTATGGTCTGTCTGGCGATCTGGTCTCTTGTGATCTCTGTCCGACCTCTCGGACTTTCTCTCGTCGATCTCTCTCCTCTTTCTATCGGGCTTCTCATCCTCGTCTCTGAGTTGCGCCTGAGCCTCTTTAGCGTTGATGTACTTCTGTGCATGGCTCATTAGTGCGGCCAATGTCTAAGGAGGATTTTTGGAGATGGAGAAGTTGAACGGGGAAGGGCGGAGCCCATGTTGTATGGTCGTAACTGCAACTAGTTTAAGTCCCTGACCTGGAGTACTTCTTTGTTGAACCTTGCCAGGTAATCTCTAAGGGACTCCGCCTTCTTTTGTTGGATCTGCATGAGGCTGACCGAAGTTTTCCAATGCTTCTGGCTAGCAGTGAACTGCGCTAGAAACTAAGTCTCTAGCTGATCCCATGACGTTGTGGACCTTGGCGGCAGAGAGGAGTACCACACCAAAGCTGGGCTTTGTAGCGTGGCTACAAGGGCTTTGCACATTAGTCCCTCTGACGCGCTGTGTAACATCATCTGAGTTTTGAGTGCTGTGACATGGTTGAAAGGATCGGAGTTCCCGTCGTACTTGTCAAATTGTGGGGCTCACCATCCAGCAGGGGGTATCTCGTCCACGATGTCTTGGACGAAGGGTGGCTCCTTGGTGATATGCACGGTGGCCCGCAGGTTGGTCCATGACGGGTGTCACGCTCTTGTGGGTTTGATTACGTTCTAGCTCTTCTAAACATTGCCGAAGCTCTTTGATCTCGGGATCTCTGTTGTCTGGGGCCAAAGTGTGTGTGGCCTCCCTCTTAAGTCGCATAGGGTGATCCTTGACTGATCTTGATTCGGCAACAGAGACCACGAAGGGCGACGTCCTTTTGTCGAGCCTTTCTTCGGCAGGGATCCGCGTTGACTGGCATGTCTAGCTATGGTGATCCTACCCATGGGAGCGGGCAGTAGAGGCGGGCCTTCGGGTCGTGTCCTGCCTTACTCTCTCGGACCACTCTCCCCTCACGTCTGACTGATGCACTTTGGGGTCCTCGGTCCTAGGGTTGTCCTTCGTGCACATTGGGGTGTGAGGGGTTACGACCCAATTGGTTGAAGTGGCAGACCCTAGCGTCTGCATGAACTCGATGATCTTATCGACCTTCTCTTGCATGGCTCAAAATTGCGCTGGATCTACTACGGCCGAAGGCTGCAGGGCTTCTTGATGCGAGGAGCCGTGATGTCAGTTCTCTCGAGATGGGGAACGGCATACTGATTGTTCAGACTGGTTTTTAGGCATCTTAATCGGCTTTGAAGCTACGCGGCGAGAAGTTTTTCGGGAAGGCTTTTTGTAGAGCTCCCACAGACGGCGCCAATCTGATATTGCTCAATCCGAGGTGGTGCACGAACTGAGAAGAGCAACCAGATAGTCATTGCTGACAGGGTGGGGCCGTGCTACAAGGATGAAGCCGCGCTTCGAGACCTGTGATCAAGAAAACAGAAGTCAGAGGCCCGAGGAGTTATCCCCGGGTAAGCACTCCGACTCTCAAGTCAATAGGAGGTGGTAGGTGGTTGGGCCAAGCTATATGGATGCTGGTCCGAGCTAAATAACAGTGTTAGTCTTAGAAGTTGGGATCCCTTACCTCGAGCATGGAGTACCTTTTTATAGCCGAAGATCTGTATCCTGGTTGGATTGGACTTTCGGGGTTGTCGGGATGAGTTTAGTCACCGAGGTATTCGGGATAGAGTCCCATTCCCCAGTGGAGTCATCTTCCTTACTCGTCCCTATCTGTAGTTGTGCTCATTTGTATGACGTGTAGTTGACGTGACTGGGAGGATATGATGGGGGCCATAATGGTAGCATAGCTTGGCCGAGCTAGGATGACGTGACAAGGCGATAGCTAGAACCTTATTGCCCTGATG